CATGTGATACATTACCAACATGTGGCTCACGCAGGGGGCATGGCTAATGGAATTGGAAATATTTCAGGGCAGAAGTATTATGAATTATAAAGAGAAACCCTGCTCAGAAGCAAGCAGTGGTTGTTTCCTCAACCCCTACCTTCTCACTCTGATGAGCAACTGAGAAAGAGGCTTTCTAGAGATTTGTGGTGTACTTTTTAACAAATGGGTTTATGAATGTATTTAATTGCATAGAATTTTAATATTATAATATTTCATATTTAATATTAAAATGTGTGTCATTGGGTCATAACTTTATAATTTCTGATTTAGACAACCATAAGGCAAAGCTATCATTTTCTTGGCAAGATTTGTTCAGAGAGAGTTTCCCTTTGCTCTGAAGTTGAGTTACTGAGACCAGCTCAAGGTCTTCACCCTGCTCTGCCAAAAACTGTAACATCCATGATTCCACAGCATTGACCCATAGCAAATAAAGTTGTGTCAAACAGCATTAGTTCTACAGTGTAGATCAGTGTAGATCAGGCTTGGGCAAATTTTGGCCCTCCAGGTGTTTGGACTTCAAATCCCACAATTCCTAACAGTCGTGAATTTGAATTTGAAGTCCAAAAAACCTGGAGGGCCAAAATTTGCCCAAAGTTTGCCCATGCCTGCTGTAGATGCACCTTTGGCTTAGCCAATCCTTCAAATTCACTTCATGGTGGCTACTGTTCTCAACTCACAAATCCCATGTTGTCTGGAGATCCTGCAAAGTATAGTTTGCAAAAAAAGTGGATATCCAAGATGACTGAGTGCACAAGTGAAATGTGTGGTCGATTTTGCATGTAGTCATGTGGATTTTTTTTTTCAAACACAAAAACAATGTGCTTAATGCTTATGATGAAAAATGGCTGTTCAAGGAATGTGAAATTTTTATTCATGGAAAGTATCAATATTTTAAAGGGGAGTGAGTTCAATTCATGAGAAAACCAGGTGGGGTATTAAAAATGACTGGTCCCAAGATGCAGTATGGATGATATCTCCCTCTTGTGTGAATATAAATAACAGATTGCACAAACAAAAGCCTTAATTCAATGTTACCAATGTGGGATATTTTCATCTTTATTGCTGCCTCTCTGCTTACTGAAGAGAGTTAAAAAAACGAAATGAACAAAGTTTATACTTGTAGCAGATTCTGTGAAACTGGTATTTTACGATCAAATCTATATATCTGCGAAGTCAATGCCATAATTTTTTAGGGCATTTGCTATGGTCACAAAGAGATGAATGAGGCATCAAATTAAAGCTCACTACACAACAAAGCTGCAGAAAAATAGTGCTTTTGCCAATTTAAACTGCCAAATCAATAAATTCAACTAAAGGAAAAAAAGAGAGGTAAACAAAAGCTACAGTTTTGAAACCTGCAAAGGGACTGGATGTGGGCTTTAGTTATTGATGTGGGAGCCTCTCTAGTCATTAGTTCAGCTGGTGGTATTATGGAATGTTAATGAATACTCCAATCACGGAGAAGTTTTAAATCCTGCCAGCCCATAAAGCCAAGGATCAGGAAAGCTGTGTGCTTTTGGCAGGAAAGAATTAGACGAAGTACAGAGTAGGAAATACTATGCTTAGACTATATCAGTGAAAATTTCTCCCAATCTAGATCATGGCTCCATGTCTATTATGTCCTGAATTGTACTTTGGGATAAAGACAGATCGATAGAAGTCAATTCTTTGCAGGAGATAGATAGGCATGTTGTCCCAATCATTATTGGGATAATGTTCTGGAATAGGTCCCCATTCTTGAGATTTCTTTAAACTCAAAGTCACAAGATTTAATTCACCTTTTTGGAAAAATATAAATACCTTAGTATTCTGTATCAGCTACTTAATTAAGTATACCACTTAGTCATGACTGTGGCACTTTTCTCATAATTCTGGATCAGAACGTCTTAAACATTTTCCACTCGTGACCCCTTTCTGCCTAATATTTTTTTTGGTGACTCCAGGTGAGCAATATAATAGCAAAGGTATATAATAGGTATAAAAATCAAACATTTACTTATAATAAATTTACATTTGTAAGACTTGCTAAACGGGATGGTTTTTCTTGTGGAAAAAAAGCTGAAGGCTGTAAATGATACACATTATTGTGAACAGATTTGTGTAGATGGGGAGCAAATTTTTTTGCAACCCAAAATTGAGCTAAGGGTGTTGGTGTTGCGACCCACAGTTTAAGAAACAGTGATCTACCAGCTACTATTTAGTCAGGACTGTGACACAGTTGTCAACGTATTGACAAAAGCTAAGTTACCTTTCTTGATCTGAGGCTATATATTCTTATAGAAACATCATTCACCTATCCCCTGATCGCCACCAGAATTGATATCCTTCTCCCTATGCAGCTAATGCTTGGCAAAACTAGTTGGGGAACAATTTTGATTGTAACAACAGCATCATTATCATGACTGAAGGCATTATCACACCACATCTTTATGCTGCATTGATCCGTTTGAAATCCATTCTAGCTGTTCTTGTGAATTTAGCTGATTGTTGTTTTCTATCACACTCTTGTCACATTTGCAATTTAACAGTGTTTTGCATATTTTTTCATCCACATTAACGGTGTCATTACTGATTCTTCTACTATACACCCCTCATTTTATCTTTCATTTATTTTTATTGTAGCCATAATAGCACAGCATTGCTATGATGACAACATCATACAACTGTACAAAACCATTATGAATCCCTCTACAATTGTTGAGATCTTTTATCAGAAGATCCCTTTTACTTGACAGATGACACCTGAAAATTAAGTGGTCATGGCATCTATAACGATCAGCCTGAGCTCTAAGGAATAATACTTCTAATATATTCCCTAGCACACACACTCTCACGTTCCTTAGGCTGTTATATTGCTCACAGCTGGTCACCAATGTGAACTAGATTGAATGGCCGTTAGTATCAATTTGAAGGAACGGAGTAGAAGACTTTGTTTTCTAAGGTTCCAACTGGACACCTGTCACAAAGCTCGATGTGTATTGAAGAATCACTGCCACCACTCAAATGGATTTTGAGAATTTAACTTGATGTTATGTCTGAGGTAAAGCTTGTTGTGCCCCAGCCCTTCCTTTAACTCCCTCTAAAGTGTCTGAGGCGAAAAGATGTTAGAAACCACTGGAACAGGCTTAATGGAATGAATCACTGTGAAGACTTTATGTAAAGTTGAACTAGAACAAAGTTTATTTATAATTACTAGAACAAACAACTGGATTCTTCTTTGAGTTACAAAAGCATGTATGGTTAGCACAGCACAATCTTCTTATATAGTTCCTAAGTCCTAACAAGCTTACTGAACTTCCCAACTAGGTATCTGTTCTTTGACGTGAGCAAATTCCTTCTGACAGACTGAACCTATCTGTCCCCTCAGCATATCTAGCTTTCCTAGAATACTCTGTCCTTTAGAGTGTATAACAACCAGTGTGTTTTTCCCCCACACCAGTTCACAGGCGGCTATTGACCCTTCAGGCCACTCTATAGCCCCACCTGCCTTCAAACACTCTCCCTCAGGAAATCTTCAGCTCACTCGAAAACTACCCTTTCCCTTTGGCTTAAAATCCAATCTCCCTCTTCTGCTCTTAAAACCCCCCTCTCTCAGATGTTAAATCTCCTTCTCTCTCTCTGTCAGAAGCTGCCTGCCTCTTTTCACTGACAGCTCCAGCTTCTCCCATCTGTCCTAGCCAATCCTGACATAGCTAAACTCCTCCCCTCTGCTGATCTGACTTTCCTTGCATTTCCCTCACTAAGATGGAGGCCGGCTCACTGTCTCTAAAGGCTGCGGCCTAACCAGAAAGGTATGAGTCCATTACAGCATCTCTTGCCATTGTATTCCTTTCTCCTGCAGAGAGAAAAGAGGCTGCTGTGTTTTTGACCATGCCAATTTTGCCTTCCTTATAGCATTGTTTTTCACTGGAACGGGTCACAATGGAATAATGCTATTATGAAAATATATCCAGAGTTTTAAAAAACTAGAAGAAAGGGTGAAGAAGGCTTTAAATCCCCCCCCCCAAAGCCATCTTCGACACACAAGCACTGGAAGTAATCTCAGACATTTTTGCAAAGATGTCATTTGAAATCATTGAGGAAGAGACAATCTGACCCTACCCACATCATTACTACTAACGGATCATTCATGGAAGAAAGTGCTGTGAAATATTCATTTCCAAGGTGTTACTGAATTGTTGAGGCCAAGGGGACCATTAATGGATATTTTCTTTGCAATGTGACAATGTCTGGAAAGTAATGATGCCATGTGATGCGATTGAGAAAATAGTGGGAATGTGTTACCACAATGGAATAATAGCATGGTGTAATAATGTCCTAAGTAGCATGAATAATGAACAGTTACCATTACATGTTCATGTTGGTTCTTTAGTCATGCCTGAGACAGTTACCATGGCTGTACCTCCCCTGCCCAACCTATTTTACTAAACAGCTGATGTAGAATGCTGGCCATAATGTGCAGCTTGGTATTGACTACAGTAACCTTATATAGGTATATAAGATGAGGTGGGAACATAAAGATGAAGTTTGCAGTATTTCTATGATTCTTCAGTTGTTACAAACACATCTGAAAATATCCAAGCTACTACACTTCTCTTATTTCAAAGAATGTTTGCAGGAGAATGCAATTTGGAGCATTGACAATGTCCACTTAAAGTATGACTGTAGTCACTATACTAAATGCCCTTTGTATGTTTTATCTTTGAGCTTCTCTTATCGTGTAATAAGAAAAACAGCAATATTTTCTGATCATTATGAAATTTGTTTGGTCTCAATGATTTTGCAGTCTGGAAGGCACAGTACAGTTTGATGCATGATTTCCTGGCCATCATCTGCCTCTTAAAATCAATATCTTGTTTTACATAAAAACACACCATGCTAATCTTTAACAAGCACAAAAAATATTTCAAATAAAGGGAGAAAGGAGGAAAAAATGAAAGTATATCTAGAAAACATACATTTTGTAGTGTCAAATCACTGATGTTAGTTGATAATGCTCTCAGCCAATCAGCACTCTCCTGGGCTGTACAATACTGAAGTATCCCAGTGCTAACTCCATCGAGTGCCAGTACTTCAAATGCATTAGATCTGCAGCAAGAAGAAATATATATACTGTCAAGGAAGCTATTGTTAGTCCTCACTTGTTAAAGTTCCCACAATTAGCATTTACTTATTATCATTTGCAATGTGTTAGAAGTGTGTTTGTCTGTGTACCTTATAGGAGAATTGTCGGAAGGTAACAGAACCATACTTTATTTCTAGCTAATCACTACTAGGTTTAACTTTTTTAAAAAATCCTATTTTTATAGGTTATGTATATGCAAAATAGCATCACATAAGAAAATTGCTATTTGGATATTGCAAACCCTCCAACATTTCAGAGATGAAAACAGGGAGATGTGTGGCCAGAAACATTAAAGTGTTGTGAAAATAATTAATGAAGAACGCATAACCTAGGAAAGGCTTCAGCACTTTGCTTTCACCAGACCAACTGAGAAGGACTTGATTCCACCTCTTACAGTCCTTTTATTCTGAGTTAAGTGAATATAAACTACTTGTGTACTTTTAACTCAGTTTGTACAACTGAAATAAAGTAGAGACAAACAAAGAAAGGGGGGGGGACTGGAATATTTAAAACCATCTGAAAAAGAGGGATGACAGAACATTAATCATCACTGTTTCTGACAGTTGGAGGGGATAATTTTGAGATTTTGATCCCAGGGTGAATCCCCCCGGGCAAGAAAAAAGCCCCCAGGGCTCCTCTGGAATGAGGTTCTCTGGACAAGCCCTAGGGCAGGTTACACTGCCCACTTCCATCTTACTGTGGTGGCAGGACAGAGTTGGTTCGTCACCCTTACTTTTGTTGTCTTGTGGCTATCATAGTGGCAGCCACAGAGCTCCAAAGAGCTCCTGGCCATCCAGAGGCAACATTGCTGAGTTTTGCAAGGGTATAAAGATGACTTGTAGAAAGGAGGGAGGCGGAGGGGGTGATTCCCTTTCCCTGTTTGAGTTGTACAGATGTTCTTGCTAACATCAGCAACAGCACTCAAGGACAGCCAGCTTGGATGAACAAGGTAGGTGCCATTCCCTTGTATTCATGCCATGGAGCATGGAGAAAGCAAAATGCCCATGTGAACAGCAGGGCCATTTTCAGATCAGAACTGGCTCAATCCATTTATACTACCCCAAAGTTCAGGGCTGCTCTTGAGCTTCAGAGAAACAGTGGAGGATTCCTTGACATTGCCAAACATGTGGTAAAACTGCATTAAAATGGCCTTGATGCAGTTTGGGAGTGAGAAAGCCACGGAGTCAATTTTACCTGTCTAATAGGCCTGGGCGGTTTCATTCGTTAATTTTGTAATTCGTTAAATATTCGTTAATTTTAGCAATTACAAAACGATTACAAAACTTATTTTTAAAACCGGAAGTGTTTTTAAATATCGAAACGGCATGCGCCAAAAAATTTTGTATTTCCGTCCATTTCGGAAATACGTAAGATGGCTTGGCTAGATGCTTGCTGGGAGCTCTCCTCTCTCTCCTCTCCTTAGCCAGTCAGAGCCTGAAAGAGGAGGAGGAGGAGGAGGAGAGGGCGGGGAAGGCGCCGGCTGAGCAAGCGAGCGAGAGGGCGAGCAACCCTCAGCGGGAAGGCGGCCCGTCCCTCCTTCCTCACCTTTGCGGTGGGTGTGCTTCGTTCTCCCAATTCCTTAGCGGAGGGCTGGGCTAGATGGCCTTTGGGGAGCCCTTCTCCCAATTTCGCATTGCTTCGGAGGAGCCGGGCCCGACTCGGCAGCAGCGCTTGAGGGCCCGCCAGAGTGAGTGCCTGCCTTCCCTCCTTAATAATAATTTCTCCTCCCTATTCTACTAAATTAATAATTAAATTAAAAATATTGAAAAAATATTGAAAAAAAAGGGCGCCATCTTTACAAAATGTTTTGTAAATATTAACGAAATTTCGTAAATACCAAAACTTTTTTTTGGAAAGTTTTGTAATTATTTTAAATATCGAAACAAAAAAAACCCCCAAATACAAATCGATTTTAGAAACAAATTTTTGCGTTGTTACCCAGGCCTACTGTCTAAATTAAACTGGGAGAAAGGACCTCATCACGTATTCTGCCAGAATTGTCATGGATCATGGCAAATGTGGCAGTGCACAGCATGGGGAACCTGTTGCCCTGCATCATATGGCTTCCTCCTTACCTCATCCACAGGGGAAAGCACCCACTGCATGGCTTCCGACTGTTGCTCTCAATGTAACATTGGAACCCTCCCACATCACCCTTGTGGTGGCATACTCTGGTTCCTCTTTAGTTTTGCTATGGAGCCCCACCAGAAGTAGATGTACATTGCGGGATGGGAGCCAGCAGGCTGCATCACAAAACTAAAGAGGAATCGGCATATGCTGCTGAAATTTACCCCATTTGATAAGGGCGAAAGATAAGACAGAAAATAAGCAATATGCTAGAATGTAGCTGTAAATGTGTCTGAATAATAAACAGTTCCCTGGCAAACAATTAGGGAGCAAACAGCAGGCAAAATAAACAAATAAAAGAATCATATTCAAATCACAACTCTGCTATTTGCTATCTTGGTAGCCTTGTCTGAAACTGGGTTCTGGTGCCTGCCTACCTTAGTAACAAGGTAGTTGTGTGGTTCATGTAAATGCCTGTCATTGTGCAGTCATCGCTCTAGCAGTCTGCTGCCTGCCTGCACTTCAGGCAATGCCCAGGAGAAAACAGCAGGAGGTAATTCCTCCCATGGGGTTTCTTTAGATTAGGAAATGCAGGCAGCGGCAGTACAGCTATAGAAAGAAAACAGACCTCCACAGTCTTCACACAATGGTAAGGTACACTTCAAAAAGACAGCAAAAAAAAATCAAAAGAAAGCTTAAAGTACCTTGAGAAGGAAGCATGTGTGTGTTCTTGAAAAGTATACTTTCTGTAGAGGAAGAACTTTGAAGGAAATTTGAGGGCAGGTTTTAGCAACAGACTAATGGATCTTGCAGTGATCTATATGGCATACAGTCAGATAAAACTGAATTACCATGTCAATGGAAGGCTACTCCAGGTGGGTCAAATGGAAAATGAGATTTGAATGGTCAACTACTCAGTCCACTCTTGGCTCTGAACAGTGGTTGTGTGGAATATTAACTTGCCTCAGTACATGTGGTTGATAATCTAGCTAATCCTGATAGCATGGACACATCAAACTACCTAATAGTTAAGCTATGGTGAGGGGCAAAGAGAAGCATGGATCTCATTCTCAAGTAGTTCTTAAACTATTAAGAATGGTGGTTCAAGGTTGCAGTCCTTTGTACACTCCCTGGGAATAATCTCCATTGTTCACTGTAGTGGTTTATTTCTAAATAAACACGTATTTTATTGGTGGTTAGCATATGCTAATATTTCTACTCAATTGCACTTTATTTCTCTGGGTGATTTTAACGCTGTGACACAAAAAGCTTCTGGATACATTTCATGTATGCCGTACTTAGTTATTGATGAAATTATATGCGCTTGAGTTGCCCATCCTAAAATCTCGCCACCACCCAAGATCAGATTATCCATGGGGAGGTCAATGAAAGAGTTTCAGCCCTCAATGGGAAAGCGTGTAGCACTGCTGGCTTTTTTCTGATACTCATGAAACTGCACTTGTAACAATAGTCAATTGAATTAAAATGTACAAGATCAGTCAGTTAAATGTACTTGAAATTGCACGGCTTTCACATTACTCCTTTTGCCTTATTAAACATTCAGTAAGTGTGTGAAAATGTGGAAAGAACAAATAACTAATATGAAAGAAAATCTGAATATTTCACTTTCTTACATTCTTAATCTTGATAAAGATAAAATTTAACAGATCTTTAAAATGAAACTGCAAGGCTAACGGTGGGCTTATATATGAGGATGTTTTTGATATAGTCTATTATATTTTGTATTTTCATGAGTTTTAATTTAATACGGTTCCGGCCCAGTGTATTTGTCCGAACGGATCTCCCTTTACGTCCCACCTCGAAGTTTAAGATCTTCTGGGGAGGCCCTGCTCTCGACCCCGCCAGTATCGCAAGTGAGGCTGGCGGGGACGAGGAGCAGGGCCTTCTCAGTGGCGGCCCCCCGCCTGTGGAACGCACTCCCCGGGGAGATTAGATCGGCGACTTCCCTCCTAGCATTTAGGAAAAAACTAAAGACCTGGATATGGGACCAAGCTTTTGGCCACTCTGATAATTAAACCAAGGACCGGAGACAGACAATGACAAACGGAATAGAACGGATGTATGGACTCTGATATATGAACTCTGACATGAGATTGTTTTAGGATTTATGCTTTTATTATGTATTGTTGTTTAACTTAACTGTTGAATTTTATACTTTTGGATTACTTGTTGTGTGTTTTGGGCATCTAATTGTGCCCTTTATGTAAGCCGCCCTGAGTCCCCCCAGGGGTGAGAAGGGCGGGGTATAAGTGAATGAAATAAATAAATAAATAAATAATAGTTTCTATGCTATGTTTTGTCTTAAATAGCTCATGCAATCAGAAAGCAGCTCTTTTCTTTGGCTCTATACTGTTCAATAATAATAATAATAATAATAATAATAATAATAATTCAACTAAATAAAACTTAACAGGATGTACAATGTATATACAGCTATCACATGTGCAAAAAAGTCTTAGCTGCTGATTCTACAAAGAATTGTAGTTGGTATACCAGCCATAGCTGTGTTAAGCCTCTCACCACTCTGAACAGTTCAGCTGGATGTGAATCTGGAGACACAATGTGTGCAGAAAAGAACGTTTCCTTTGCTGCACGTATTGTTACCTTAATAGGAGCAAAGGAAGATATTTTGTAATATCTTTCTTGAGGAATGGGCAAGGGGCCTTTTCATATTACGTAGTACGCGCATCATGATCCACTGTAACTTCCATGAAATCCGTGAATTTGCAGTTTAGGGACATGTGCAATTCTCAGCCAAAGAATTCTAGTGGCTCACCAGAGTATAAGTCTCAGGATTCCCTAGGATGTTGCCAAGGCATTCAAAGTAGAATCACAGCACTATAAATTTGTAGTGTGGAAGGACCGTTGGAAGGCT